GCCGCAGCCGCCACCACCACCAAGGGTCCCGCCTCACCTCTCCATGGCCTCGCCTCCGTTTGGGATGAGTCTGTGTGTGCAGGGGAATGTCAGGGGTTGACCCTGAAGGTGGGATTTTGTATTTCTTTGGGGCCAGGTAGTCTGTGAAGTGGCTTTTTGGTAGCTCTGGAGGGGGCTGGGTCCTTCCCCCAAGGGAAAGACTTGTAGGGAAGGGGTTATTCTGTCTGGGTAGAAAGAACCCAATTTGAGATGGATGTGCAAGTTATAAATTTCCTAGACTCCCTTGCAGCTATGGCAATCATAAGACACAGTTCTGACCAATGAGATTTATGGAGGAGTTTTGGGGGGTGGCATCCATTAATATTCTTACAAGGGTGTCGGCCCAAACTGCTTGTCCTTGTTCTTTCCTCTTCTTTTTGACTAAGTGGGCCTCTGATGGTCATCTTGGGATCAGAAGATGACCATGAAGAGATGTCTAGAATCCTTGGCTAAAGCAATTCTTACCTTGGGTCAATGGCATACTTTCTGCCAGGGTGCTACCCATGACTACCACATCCAGTTAAACACGAACCCATCCCCACACCCACCAATTAGGCCAGTTAGACAGATGGGGAAACCTTGACTTGGTGAAGATACATCCTGAGAGTTATCTTCTCAACTGAAGGCATGGCTGGGACTGGCTGTGAGGCCTCTATTTCTAAGGCAGGCACCCATTTTCTCGTGTATTCTACTATTTAACCTCCAGTGGAGCTAGTCAAGTGGGGGAGCACTGGGGATTGAACCCAGGGGCTCTTTACCACTGAGCTACATCCCTAGCATTTTCTTTGTTTCTTTTTCCTTTTTTGAAACAAACAAGTTGCTTAGGGGTTTGCTAAATTGCTGAAGCTGGCCTTCAACTTGTCATTGTCCTGTCTCAGCTTCCTGAGTCACTGGGATTAAAGTTGTGCATCTTCAATTAGATTTCCTGGGGGCAATCAATGGCCAGGGGGTTGACTTGATGAAGACCCACTCCCTCATTACCCACTCCTTCATTACCATCAACCCTGTTGGCTAGGGATGTGGGGTTCTCAACATACTCAAAATTAAAAGGCTTTTTCCATGTTTTGTAATAACTTGCATTTTATTAAATATGCAATCCTGCCATAACTGCCACTTGCCCCCCCTCCAATATTATCCTTGTGATTTCAGCTCTCTTGTGGAGCTGCTGAGCTGCCCCTCTCTCCTGGGGTAGAGTAGTGGTGCCCCTCAAATAGGCAGCAGGCAGGGGCAGGTCCATGACTGATCATCACAGTCCTCTTAAAAGTATTTAGTACATTTAAATAAGCACCCTTGGGCAACTTTCAAAGGATATTCAGGGTATGGCAGAGTAAGAGGCCACCCTCATCCAGGGTAAGGGTTGCAAAGAACTAAGGCTGGTCTGTCTTGGGCCTCAGAAGGGAGAGAAAAGGGAGCACATTCTGGGATTTAGTGTGGGTGGGGCATATTCTCCCCAAACTTATATTGGTGGATGATGTTCTTCACATCTAGGAGAGCCTGAGGAGGAGGTAAGAACAGGGTAGGTGAGAGGAGTGAGGACAGCTCTACCTTAGCCAAGAGGTTGCCCTACTCCAGCCCTCAACCACCCCCACCCCTAGACTATCTCATAGTCCCCATATCATACTAAATAATCAGGATGCAGCCTTTGGTAAGATCTGCATTCTCCCTTTACCCAATCACAGAAGGGGATAGGGATGGGCTGGGGGGCAAGTATGTGTCAGGGGTTAAAGGGTCTGCCCAGGACGTACCTGGTGGTGGACATAGGCCTGACAGGGGTAACACCAGGTAGACAAATCAGTGTAGCTGAGGACCAGTGGGTGTCCAGAGGCTTCATGGTGTCGGACCATATGAGCATTGATGTAACGGCTGCAGTAAACCTAAGGTTGGAAAGTGTCAGGTGGGGCTCAGCACTCACATGCAGTTTGCTCCAAGGCCAACCTGCACCCAATTCCCTTCCTCTGGTCCATACCTGATAGCAAGACAGACACACCCAGTTTTCCTCGAGTGTCCCACAGTCCTCACAAGGTTGGGTTACATCCAGGCCTGCTACAGGAATGGGGCATACTGCCACCAAATGGGGACACCAGGACAGTGGTGTCACAGCATAAAATATGGCCTAGGGTGAATGGGTGAAACTGAGTAAGTTGGGGACCTCATCTCCAATTTTATGTTTCTACATCACATGCTCCTGACTGAGAGTCATGAATTGGCAAGAAAAAAGCCACAATCCTAGCCTCTTCCTGAACTTACCTGGTCCATGCCACTAAGATCCCCAGATCCCATTGTGAGCTTTGAGTCACCCACATCCTGACCTCCAGCCGCCTCTCCTAGTAGGCTCTCCTCTTCTGCAGTCTGAGCTTCTAGAGTTTTCTGGACACACAAAAGGAAATAAATTTACTTGAGAGGCCCAATTCTTACCCCTTCTCCCTGGGTTTGGTGACCTTACCTGAGCTTCACTGCCTAGTTCTAAGGTATTCACATTCTCCACCAGCTAATTTAGGGACAGCTCTGCTGTGGGTACCTGCACGGGTGAGCCTGCTGGAGTCTTTTTCTCTGTGCGTGAGGTTAGAAGACTTTGGATCGGCTTAGTTCCTCCCATGGCCTCTTCAGCAGTGGTCTGGTCCAGCAAGTCTTCCCCTGTAGTTGCCTTTGAGGCTTCCCCCACAGTTTCTTCTGAGGTGGCCTGGTCCATTGTGGCCTCCCCAGCGGCTGCCTCTGAGGACTGGTCCTGAGTGAGCACCACCTTAGATGTCTCCGATTTAGTCTGGCTCAGAGTGGACTCTTCTGCAGACAATGCTGGGGTAGCTTTCCCCTTGCTTTCTTCTAGAACCTTCCCTTCTGGGGCTGTTATTCCCTTAGCAGATTCAGAATTGGCTGGTTGGGGCACCTTCTTGGTAAAGGACTTAGACTTGTAGGATCCCTCCTTGTCTTCTACCTCTGGAACCATGGAATGAGATCCTTGAGTATGGATTCTGTCCCCTTTCCTGCCTCTATTTCCCTGAGTACCCTCATTATAATTCCCCTGCCCCCTTCTTCCCTGAGTACCCTCATTATAATTCCCCGGCTTCACTCACTCATGACCCTCAAACTGCGCCAGTATTTCTGATGGACTTGGATGGTCTCGGAGATGGAGGCCAGAGCTCCTGATTGTGGAGGCCTCGACAGGGTCAGCAGGGGTGGTGGGTCTCCAAGGAGGGAGTGGGTACAGGCAGCCATGGACTCTGAGATGGATGTCAGGTTGTAGCCACCCTTTGTTAAGGAAAAGGAGAAGGAATGATACAGAGGGAGTTCTTCAGGGGATTTGAATGATTAGATGTCCTGTCTTCCCACTTTCTCTTCCTCTCGACTCCAGGGCCCTGCAAGTCTGGAGTGGAGGGTTGGTACCAGGAATAAATGTGAGTGTGATTCACATTTGTAAGATGGGCAGCACTCAGTGAGGTGGTTGTTGCAGGAGGGTAAAACAAAATGCTGTCAAGTGCAAGATAATAATAGTGATAATAGAAATAATGATACTGATAATTGCATCAGTAATAATAATAAATGTCAGTAATAGCTGACATTTATTAGATGTATGCTGTGTACCATACCCTATTTTAAATATTTCATGCAGACTAACATAGTTAATTCTCACAACCACAGGTGCTCAACATATAGGGACCTGCCTTCATGCCATACAGAAATCTGTCTTCACACTGTCTAGGAACCTCTGGCCTCACACCATATAAACCTCTGACTTGACCTTTATAAGATGCCTGCTGTGAACCCATATAAAAGGACCTGTCCTGATCTATTATAGAAATGACTCGTCTTTACTCTCTACAAGATCCCCTATCTTGAATTTTTCTATACTGTACAGGAACTCTAGCCTCTACTGTTTTTACAGATAAGGAAGCTCAGAGTGGTTAGATGACTTGTCTGAGGTCACAACAGCTGAAGAAGTAGTGCTGGGGTTTGAACTTGAGACACCTGACAAAATAGTCCATGTTCTCAACCACTACCCTGCCCTGCCATAAGTAGTCCTGGACATATTGTAAGTGGGACTTTTTACAAGCCAGCTAATTTCTCAGTGGCTTGCTTCCCCATCTATAAAATAGTGAAAATAATAGCATAAAAGTTTGCTGACATGGGACTGGGGTTGTAACTCCGTGGTCTCTAATTAAAATACAAAGTAGGGCTGGGGATGTGAATCAGTGGTCCAGTGCCCCTGAGTTCAATCCCTGGTACCAAAAAAAAAAAAAAAAAAAACAGTTTGCTGAGAGGATTAATGTCTGAATAATGCCTAACAGTAAAAAACATACAGCAATTATTCAGTTCTTACCATATGCCAGACACTCTTGCATCCACAATTAGCCATCCCCATCTTACAGATAATGAAACTGAGGTATGAAGGCAGAGGTACTGAATCATTTACAAAAGGTCAATTTACTTTGCCCCAGGAACTAGTTAGAAACTGTTCAGATAATGGTAAAAAACAGACCCTGGAGTCAGGCTGCTTGGGTTCAAGCCCCATTTGTGCCATTATTAAGTGTGACTACTTCCTCTGTGCCTCAGTTCCCCTGATCTTTTATTTGTGGTACTGGGGAATAAATCTGAGGCCTCACATATGCTAGGCAAGTACTGAGATACATCTCTACCCCAGTTAAAAAAATATTTTGAGACAGGTTCTTGCTAAGTTGCCAAGGCTGGCCTTGAACTTGCAATCCTCCTGCCTTAGCCTCCTGGGTTACTGGGATTACACCCATGCACAACTATACCCAGCTCAGTTCTCTTGATCTTGAGAGAGGAAAATAATGAGGTAAACAGACCATACCTCATAAGGCTGCTTTGTCAAGCAAAGAAAATTAATAATAAATATGAAGTGCTGAGAAGAGAGCTTTGCATATAGTGAGTGCTCAATTAAAGCTGTTAATGGGGGCTGGGGTTGTAGATCAGTGGTAGAGTGCTTGCCTAGCATGTGTGAGACACTGGGTTTGATTCTCAGCACCACATAAAAATAAATCAATAAAGTTCACAATAACTAATAAAATATTTTTTAAAAGCTGTTAATGCTGTTGTTATTGTCATTATTAATGTCTATTGTGTGCCAACAATCCCAGGTGGAGACACTCAAAGATTTTACAAAACTGCCCTGAGTAACTGCCCTGCAGTTGACTCTTCCAAACTGCCCCCACCATGGGAAGAAAGATTGAAAAAGAGTTACCTCTAGGATAAGGACAATGTGGCCACTGGCAAGGCCCATCAGCAGATGGGTGAGGTGGGCATAACCTTCAGGTGACACCTGGCAGCCCCCAAGAGGGTCCCCTCGTGCAGCATCAAAGCCCGCTGAGACCAGCACCAATTCTGGGTTAAACTGAGACAAGAAGAAAAGAAAGACATGGGCATGAGGGGAAGGGCTTTGATAGGCAGTAACTGATGGAGACAAAGACAAGTGAAGACAGGGAGATGCAAGTCAGAGGAGTGGAGGCTCTGGACCTGGAGACCAGGAAGCCTGGATTTAGAGACCTGAAAAGAAAGAGCATCAGAGGGGAAAATATGAGAAACAGAAACTCAGAACTAGGAAAAAGAGAGACACAGACACCAGAGAAATTCAGGGATATTAAGAATGAATAGAAGGGGACATGAGAGAGTCATGAGACAGATAAGAGTTACACAGACATGGAGATTCAGATGTTAAGAGATGGTGTCACGAGAAATGGACAAATAGAGACATGTCCTCACACACATGCACCCCAAGGTCAAACATGGGACACACATGCACATGACACAGGTGCCAAGAGAGGCAAACACACTTATGTCACAGAATATGTGACAGTGCAAGCACCACACACAATCACAAGTCCCACATGGACAAAACTGTACATCTGCACTAGTCGCATACACATACTCAATTTCTCAGAAGGAAGTTATTCACAGCTACCTTGGCAGTCACAATCATACCCATGCTCCCATGCCATCATCACCTAGTCACAATGTTCACACACATGCAGTTGCACCCACAGGAGGTGGTCACTTGCATACACAGTCATATACATTCACAGGATGGTTCCTGCCACCCATGCATAGTCAGAGACACATGTAGATCTAAAGGTGCAGAACCAGGCTTGCAGAGTAGTGTGCACATGCCTGCCCTCAGTCAGACACACACACACATACCCAGCTCACACACATGGAAGGCAGCCACACCCACAGCACCCCCTAACCAGGGAAACATATACACAAATAGCCAGGGCAGACAGACACAGAGATGGTGGTCCCACATGGCCTCCCACATCCAGAGGTCTCACAAGTCTGTCAAAGACATAGTAGCATCCAGTGACATACAGTATCACATCTATCACACAGAGAAAAGGGGATGACAAGTAACCACCTGTACAGAGTCATATACATATACCCATCCCCCAGCCCTCCACTGCATACACAGTTCCACAGAGCATTAGTCACAGCCATCCTCACACCCAGAGGATGGCACTCACGATGGCAGAAAAATAGGACACAGATCTAGTCAGGTCACACAGACTACCACTGCACATCCAAAAGATTCTCACACACAGAGCCACCACAAAAGTTCATCCCATGCAAAGCCAAGACAGTTGCTCACAAACATAATGTCACAAAGAGAGGGCAGTCAAGTGAACAGTCAAATACCTAAGGCCATCCCAGCCACCCCTGCCCTAACAACCATCAGTATAGGCACCCATAGGTTGTCTCATGATCAGTCACCAGGCAGTCAGACACACAAAGTGAGGAGGCAGGCACCTGCTGCCACCCTCACAGGTTTGTCACACATATCTTAAGCCTTACCTCATAGGCAATGGGAAGCACCAGCCGATGCCAGGCAGCCAGGTAGTCAGCGTCACCCATGCGGGGCCCATTCCAGGCCACATTGACAGTGAAGCCCTCGCCTGCAGCCCGGCCTATCTGGCTGCTGGCGCCCTCATCCCCCATGGGGAAGAAGGTGCCGTGGTCATAGCGGTGCAGGGACACGTATAGCACACTGCCGGGGATGGGGTTTGGAGGGGGCCATGGCTGGTTAGGGGCCCCAAGCATGGCTCAGTCCCCTTCCTGACCACACCCTTGCCCCTAGCCCCAGCCTCTCACCTGGGATCGTCCTCAAATATGTGCTGAGTTCCATTACCATGATGGATGTCCCAGTCCACAATCAGAATCCTAGGGAGGGAATAGCTCCTCAGTATCCTGGGAAACTTGATCCCTGGGAGAAAGTACAGCTAGGTCCCTGGGAGCTGCAGAGAAACTTATTGCTGGGTGGCAGGACCCTGGATCTCTTGGGAAAGTACTGGGCATCAGGATGAAAGCCCGACTCTGGGTCCAATAAAGGGTTTTCTGTGGGCCTGGGAAAGTGCTTGGGGCTGGGTCCTGGGCTCTTTTGGGGAAAATGCTAGGAACTGAGTTCAGGCCTGGATGGCTAAGTCTTATGTGTATGATCCTGGGTCTTTTGGAGTAAGCACTGGGGGCCTGGGTCTGGGTTCTGTTGGATTAACTGTTAGGGGTCAGAAAAAATGGGGCAGGACTCTGGTTTATAAGCCATGGGTGCCATGATCTGGGGGTCTTAACAGGGCAGATACTGAGAGGTCACCTCTTGGTCCTTTTCTGGGGAAGTAATGGGCAAGTACACCCTTGCTTGTTTCTGGGAAAGTTGTGGGGCCTGTGCTGTGGACCTGCTGAGTAAGCACTGGGCTGTGAGAGGGGTCTAGAATTTGCAAGGATCAAGATTTGGAGGTCTTTAGGCTGCCCTTACCGCAGGGCACGTCCACTGATGGCCTGAGCATGACGAGCAGCAACTGCCACAGAATTGAAAAAGCAGAAACCACAGGCAGCATCCTGCTCAGCATGGTGTCCTGGGGGACGCACCACAGCAATGCCATTCAAAACCTGGGAGCAGGAGTGATGAGTTAAGATGGATCCCTGGCCCTCACTCACATTTGTTCTCCCCTTTCTTCTATTCTTCTTTCTCTCTTGACCCTTCTACCAATTCACCAGCTGCAAGGGATCCCATTCCTGGGATTCCCCTCCCAGTGAGCAGGGAGGCTCCCCACTACCCATTTCCAAGGGCTTTGCTCAACTCTCTCAGGACCTCCTTAAGTGCAGGTGACCCTTTCCATTCTCCTAGGACTTCCTCTCTCCAGCCCAGTACCCATCCTGAAGTGGACATACCTCTCCTGAGAGCACAGCCTCCACCAGGCGACAGGCAGCACCCGTGGCAAGCTGTGCACAGGCAAAGGTGCTGGGGCAGATGTAGATGGAGTCAAAATGGGCACCCTCACGGTGAAGGTCCCGGGTTTTCATCTTCTCCGTGGCCCGGAGACGCTCCACGTACTCAGAACTGGAGGCACAGAAAGGAGTCCCCAAGAGACAGTTAAGTGGCTTTGTCCCCTTCCTCGGCCTCACCCTGGAAATGACACTTGGGACTCTCTAGGTCCACAGCAGCTCCATACACCATGGAGGGGAGCTCTAGGCTCTGTCCCCCAGAGCCCATCCAGAACCCTATAGCCCACTCACACCACACAGGCCAGACCTGTGGCAGGTAAGCAGCTCAGTGTCAGTGGCAGGCCGCACTGGCAAAATGAGGCAGCGACTAGCAAGGCCCAGCTCCTCTAGGTGGCACATGATTCTCAAGATGCGCTGGGGTGTCTCAGGGTGGTGGCTAGTGGTAGGGGAAAACCAATGATAGGGGCTTAGTGCCTGGGAGGCAGTGACCCCCTACCCATTTATCCCAGCCCTCTGACTGCATACTTGTCCCATAGGTTACAGTGACTCATCATTCTTTGGTCATAGACCAGCCCGGTACGATCCTGTAGCACTGGCCATGTCAGAATAGGCAGCACAGGCTCCCAGGGTCCCTCATCCTCATTCTCCTCTGTATTTTCCTCCTCCAAGTTGTCCTCCTCCACGGTCTCAGCTACAAAGAAAGGTCATGTTCACCCTATTCTCCCAATCTGGATTCCCCTTAATACTCTGGAACATAAGTGGCCCAAACATAAAAAGGGGTGGAAGCCTTAAACTTGGGCCTGGTTTAAGAGAGAGGCCCTGACTCTTCCCCACCAAGGTTTCCCAGGAAAGTCAGAGTGGGTGAGTCTGCAATAGAATCTCCCCAACCCTCGACTTCTCATCCCATGCCCAACTCCCAGCAGGCCCACATCCAGCTTCCTACCTGATCTCACAAGGACCTCCCAGAAGGGCTCAAGGGCTTCCAGAGTGCAGGAGAGTGAAGTCTGGGCACTGAGGGCAGGGGACAGGCAAATAGGATGAAATAGCCACAGGTGGACAGGGAGGGGCCCCCTTCCCCTCTCCTTCACCTGGGCTCACCTTGGGCAGGGGGCACCAGGAGATTCCAGCATGGGACAAGGGTCTCCCAGAAGGGTATGGAGCGATGCACTAACTCCCTCAGCCAGGGAGCGGAGGTTGTAGCCACCCTGAGGAGGGGGATGTGAGGGAGCATGAAGAAAGGACCAGATATCACATTCAGGGAAGAATAATGGTAGTAATAACAATACTAGGGTGCACACTGCATGTCAAACAAGGTAATAACAGAGTGACCGTATTCAATTCACTGGACAATGACATGAAGTGACTGCCATTATCTTTTTGTCTATCTGACCTATAGGAAACAGAGACACAAAGAAATGAAGTGCTCCCTGCAAGATTGCCCAGTTAGTTAGTGGAAATGCTAGGCCAGGAACTGCTGATGGACTTAAAAACTCTGTTCTTTTATTGTCTTTTATTTTATTTTTTAGTGGTGTTGGGGATGAAACCCAGGGCCTTGAACATGCTAGGCAAGTGCTCTACCACTGATTTATACTCCTAGCCTGAAAACTTTATTCTTAAACCCTCCAGAATCCACAGGTTGAGACAAAGGTGAGTTACTTACCTCCAGAGACAGGATCAGCTTTCCTCCGGCCAAACCCATGAGTAGGTGGGTTAACTGGGCAAACCCTGCTGGAGTAGCAGCCATCTCACCCTGGGGAGATGCAGAGGGTCGGTCTGGCTGTGTAGCTCCTTTGACCACCTATTGCCCTAGGGAGACTGCCTTACCTTGGGGTCCCCTTGGAGGGCATCAAATCCAGCAGCCACCAGGACCAGCTGAGGCTGGAACTGAGGGGGCAAAAGACTACATGAGGCTATCTGCCTTCATAGGCCATTCCTTCAATGTTGTCGCTCACCCCAACATTTCCCAGACTCCTCGAACCTCAAAGGCAACTGGCAGCAGAATGTGCAGGAAAGCAGCAATGTAGTCAGCATCCCGCATCCCCACCTGCCGACAGAGGCATGATGGGGGTCAGTCAGTCACCTGCCCCAAGATGGTGGAAGAGCAGGCCTTGGCCTCACTTTGGGGCACAGGGTGGGTAGACACTGACCTGGTTCCAAGGCACATTGATGGTGTATCCTTGGCCTTGGCCAAAACCTGTGGTGGACCAGTTAGAGGCCTTAAGGTGGGGCCAGAACCGACCCTGCTCATAGCGGTGGATGGAGAAGTAGAGGACACTAAAGGCAGAGGGAAAAAGAGGTGAGGGGTTGCCTAACCTGCTTGAGGCTCTGGGTTCCATCCCCAGTACCACAAAAATGTAAGGGAGCTAGAGAAGGTCAATTCCCAGACACTTCCAAACCACAGTTATCACACTTTTCTTACTTATCCATTTGTTTTCCTGCTCAACCACTTATTCATTCTCTGCTTCATCAATTTCTCAATTATTATATCCAATCTTCCATTAATTTAACCTTCCACTCAGTCCCAGTTTATTGAACTTCCCATTTATTAATTCTTTCATTTATTCTCCCATTATCTTGCTTACTCATTCATTTGTCTCCTAGTAGAACCTCTCTATCAGTGAGTATCACTGGCCCCTCGATGGCCACCCAATTTTAGACTCAGGTCTAAGATCCCAAGAGCCGGCTCCTGACCCTGTGGAAGACTCTAGATCATGTCCCCAAGACCAAGGTAGGAACAACAGGGCAAACCCTATGACAGTGGAGGCCCACTGGGGCCATGGGCTCTTAGCTGGAGAGAGCCAGTTAAGGCTGAAAACACCCTCAGGCTAGGCTGGGAAGTCCAGTGATTCCTGTGAATAAAGTGGGAGGCCTAGGAGTGAGAAGAGTATGACATGGTTCTATGTGTGAAGCTGGAGTTGGGGTGCTGACTAGGAATGCCAAAAGGCCAATCTCTTCTCCTCAGTGCCTTACAGGTTAACTCTACTACTTCTTAAGTAAGAAAGTGAGCACACATAGGAGTGAGAGGTACTGAAACAAAAAAATAGATAGGTTCTGACAGAAATTATGACACAGGGGTGGGGTTGTAGCTCAGTGGTAGAGCACTTGCCTAACATGTGAGAGGACTGGGTTCAATTCTCAGCAACACATAAAAAATAAAGTAAAAGTACTGTGTCCATCTATAACTAAAAAAAATATTTTGGTGGTAGTATTGGGTATTTACTCAGAGGTGCTTTACCACTGAGCTACACCTCCAGCCCAGAAGGGGATTTTAAAATACATTCAACCAGCTTCAAGTGGAATGGGAGACTAATAGCATAGGTTTTCCTCTTTGACTTCCTGACATACTAGTCAAAAGATGGTAAAGGAATGTTTGTTTATTTATTTATTTAGGGGATCGAACCCAGGGCCTTGTACATGCTAAGTATATGCTTTACTATTGTGTTATACCCCAAGTCTAGTAAAATAATTTTAAAATAAGTGCCAACCTAGAAAGACAGAATGGGAAAAAGGATGCCATAAAATATGAGACTCTAACAAATCTCTGGAAAGTAGATTTTGAGACTCGGGGGGTCCCAGAGGGCCCTCTCCCATACTGAGTAGGAGCTTTGGGGGGACCTAAGATGACCTAAATTATCCCTTCTACAAAAAAAAAAAAAGGTGCAGACTCAGGCCAATGCACAGAAAATCAATTCTGAATAGCCAATTCACTGAATGACACATTTGCCAAACTTGTTTCTTATAAACTGTTTGGTTTAAAGTTTACCTGTTTGCCTTGTCTCCATTATAGTATTTTAAGGACTGTACAATTTGTTTCCCTGCTGTTCTAGTTAAGACTGAAAGATGAGGATTTAGGAGATCAAAGGGCATGGATAGCTTTTTTATTCATTTACACATTCTTATAAGAAAGAATGTATTGAAGTGTTCACATTTATGTATATAATCAACAATGTATCAAAAAATAACACACTTAAAGCCTGTGATGCACTTTTTTAAAAACATTTTTTTTTAGTTGTAGTTGGACACAATACCTGTATTTATTTATTTATTTTATGTGGTGCTGAGGATTGAACCCAGTGCCTCGCATGTGCTAGGCGAGTGCTTTACTGCTGAGCCACAGCCACAGCCCCTGTGATACACTTTTTATTTTTATTTTTTTTTGATGCTGGGGAATTGAAACCAGGGCTATGCACATGCTAGGCACACACTGTACCAATGAACTAATGCTCTAGCCTCTCGGATGCATTTAAGACATAAAAAATGTTTAATGATATTCAAGAATTCTTATTAATTTTGCAGGCAAAATAGTGAAATAATGCTTTTTCTTTTCTTTTGCCAGTACTGGGGATGGAACCCAAGCCTTGTGCATGCTAAGCAAGTGGTCTATCATGGAGATACACGCCCTAGTCAGTAATGCTTTAAAAAGCACCCTTAAAAAAAAGCACCCTTATGTTTTAAAGATGTATTCTGGAATTTTTGCAGAAAAAAATTATATGATATCTGGTTTTAGCTCCAAAATAAATATGAGGAAGGCAGTGGTACAGACATGAATGAAACAAGATTGACCAATGTGTTGATAAATGTTGAAGTAGTCGATTCAAGAAGACAGTGTGAACAAAATAAAGAACATAGGAAGAAGAAGTTAGTAAGAATAAAAACAAAAAAAATTAATGAAGAATTTAAAACACAATAAAACAGTGAGATGATAAAAAAGACAAAAGGTAGATTAGAAAAGATAAGTAAAATAGACTTATCTTTGGCAAGGCTGAAGGAAAAGAGATGCCATCTGGAAGAGGCTCTCTTATTTTTCACATTTGGCAAGATCCTATCTAATGTGTGGGTCCTTTTCCATAGTCCCTAAAGTTGAGACCTGTCAACAGACATTATCTGTCCCCATTCTAGGGAAAATGCTTTTTAGGAAAATAGATCTACACACATCACAGCAGAGTAATCCCATGATGGCCCGTACAACAGTCCTTTAATTTCTGGTATAGATAGCCAAATAAGGATCATATTTGAGGAAAATCACCAGTATGAAAGAGAAGGGCCAAGAAAAAAATAACCTCAGAATGAAGAATAAAATTCAGAACAGAAGAAAATTTAAAGTGTCTAATCAGTACTTTATAAAAACAAGATCAGGAATGAGAAGGCATAGAAACGGAGAGGAAGAAAGTACTTGGGGAGACTAAAAGAATGTCTATATACATAATTCAACAAAAGGACTTGCAGATAAATTTGAGGAAATCGCCTAGGACTGCAAACTGAAAAAGAGACAGAAAACGTAAGTTAAAAAAAATAAGATGGGGTGGGTACTTGCCTAAAATGTGGGAGGCAATGGGTTCGATTCTCAGCACTGCATATAAATAAATAAAATAAAGGTCTATCAATAACTAAAAATATATATATATATTAAAAAAAGTATGGCAAAAAAGATCAACCCAGAAACATCTAACATCTAAACAGTAGAAGTCCTAAAAAGGGAGAATAGAGAAAATGCAGTAGAAGAAATTATCAAAGATCTAATTGAAGAAAACTTCCAAGGATTGAAGAAAGACATGAGTCTTTAGATATATAATGTCAACTCACTGCTAAGTAGAATGAAGGAGCCAGGGTGAAACTTCAGAACACAGGGGATAAAGAGAAAAACTTATAAAAAAAGCTTATAGAGCGCAAATTAGATTACTCAGATAAGAATGAAACGACACCTGTCAGCAACAGTGAATGCTGGGAAAACAATAAAGCAATGTCTATAGAACAAATATCCTAGATCAGACAAAAGGCCACAGGAACTCAGGATGTATGGGGGGCAAAGTGGATTCTAAGCAGTTGGCTAGATAGAAGGCTATTACTTAGTAAGGACTTGTTCATCAATCACTTTCTGTAGGAAAGGTAAGCTGGGTACCCTTCTGTGGGAGGGGTGGGGGGTTTGGCAATGTACACCAGATCTTTTACAATATTGACCTGTCTGACCCAGAAAACCACTATTAGATAGTCATCCTACAAATATACTCAAGAGAAGTATGAAATTATATATTTATAAGAATTCACAGTAGAATTGCCTATTACAAAAACTGGGAAGTATTTTAAATACCCAGAATTAAACGATCAGAGGTACAGCCATACAATGGAATACTCTGCAACCCTTACAAAGAATGAGATGCTTTGTGCTGGGGTTGTGGCTCAGTGGTAGAGTACTGGCCTAGCACGTTAGGCACTGGCTTCAATCCTCAGCACCACATAAAAAATAAATAAATAAAATAAAGCTATTGTGTCCATCTACAACTAAAAATATTGAAAAAAAAGAATGAGATTCTTTTAGTTGCACTAACATGGTGTGGGGGGGGTATCCCTGATATGCTATTAAATGAAAACAGCAATTTGCCAAAGAACATGCAATTATCCCATTATGCAGTGTGCTGTTAATAATAATGAGAATTATGAATATTCATAAATCTGTAGGGAAAAGTTAGGATATTACCTAAACTGTGAAAAATATATTTTTTTTTAATTTTGGTGGTATAGGGGACCTAATCCAGGGTCTTACACATGCTAAGTATCTACCCCTGAACCTTTTTATTTTTTTCATTTTGAGACAGAGTCTCAATAAGTTGCTTAGGCTGACCTCAAATTTGGGATCCTTCTGCCTCAGTTTCTTGAGTAGCTGGGATATAGGTGTGCCTGGCTGTCAAAAGTTATTTTGGAGGTGATGGGAATGATAGGAAACTCTGCTTTAGACATTTTTTGATATTGAGGATCAAACCCCATAAACATGCAAACATGCTAAGAAAATGCTCTCCCACTGAACCATATCTCCTATTCCATTTAATTTTTTTTTTCGTGGGGGAGGTGTGTACCAGGGATTGAACTCAGGGGCACTTGGCCACTGAGCCACATCCCCAGCCTATTTTGTATTTTACTTAGAGATAGGGTCTCACTGAGTTGCTTAGTGCTTCACCATTGCTGAGGCTGGCTTTGAACTCATGATCCTCCTGTCTCAGCCTGCTGAGATGCTGGGATTACAAGCATGCACCACGTGCCTGGCCTCCATTTAAATTTTTTTTTGTGTGTGTATGTGTGATGCTAGGGATGGAACCCAGGGCTTTGTGCATGCTAGATAAGCACTCCACTACTGAAATATACCCCTAGCTCCAGCTACACCACAGCCCCTGTTTTAGTATTTTTTAGCAAATACTTTGTAGTATTGTTATAATCAGAAAATATTTAAATAGTAATTTGAAGTTCACTCTAGCTCAAGGGTAAATTGATGAACAAAACCTCCAAATATTTGTGAGTCAAATTCTATCTCTCCCACTTCATTACCGTGTGACTTCTTAACCCATAAGGCTCAATCTCACCAAACTGTTAAATGGGAATTCAACAGTTTCTGCCTCAGAGTGAAGCTAGGAGACAGCAGACACCCAGGGGGCAGCAGATTCTGGTTCCAGGTGGGCCCAAAGAATGTGAATGTTTCCCCTCCCTCCAAACTCCTCACGATGGGCCTGGAAGTGCTTGAGTTGGGGTGGCTGTGAATCTAGCACAATGGAACTTGTGGTGTACCTGGGGTCCTGGTCAAAGGTGAACTGTGTTCCTTGACCATGGTGTACATCCCAATCCACGATAAGGACCCTGTGAGTGTAAAAGAAGGGAGACTCTGTACAAAGGGATCAAGGGGAATCTGGAGGAAGAGCCCAGACCAGGATACCCCACCCCATGCTACTCCCATAACACCTGCCCTCTGCCACTGACCTCTGAATGTGGTGCTTCTTTTGAGCATAGCGGGCAGCCACAGCCACATGGTTGAACATGCAGTATCCATCCATAAGACTGTGCTGGGCATGGTGTCCAGGAGGCCTGAGCAGGACAGGGAAGATCACAGATTGGAGGTCCTCCTCTGTAGAGATGGACTCTCCCCTGGACCACCAACTTCTCCAGTGTTCATGCTGTAAATCTTACAGGAACTGAGTAACTGGGTTCCTCAAACCCATACCTGTGCCCCAATCTTCTACTATTTCTCCAGTGGAGATTTAAAAATGTTCATTAAAGTTATCTATGCATACATTCTCATAACCAGTCATTCTGCTCCAAGGACCTAGCCCACAACCTACATAAAAAATAGTAAGTTTACAATTGTATCCCATATTTGCTGTGGTATATGCATGAATAAGCAAATATTTGGGGAGATCCAAAATGTTCATTGATAGAGGAGTACTTATAGTGCATTTGTACCATGGTATCTACTGAGGTCTATGCTACATATGATAGAGAAAGGTAAAATGCACAGTCCAATGGGAGCGTGTCACTGCTGGTGGTAAAAAAAAAGGTGAGGGAGGACAAAGGCTCCATCTACTGCATCTCATCAATTCTGAGATGACAAAATATTCCATGATTTTCCATGCCAACAATAGAATAAAAAATGTTCCTGATTAAGTTCTGATATGTCACTGTTAGATGAATGGAGTTCAAGATGTTCCAGATATGAAAAAAAAAATGTGCATCTTAGAATCAATGGAATTTGATGCTTATCCCTTAAATAATATCATCTGTGGGAGGACACAGCAGTCATCAGTTATAAAGACTGCCTCTAAGTACAGCAAGTAGTTTGTCTGGGTGACAAAGGTGGGAGAAAGACTTCTTATTGTACCCACTTTGGCACCTGTTGACTTTGGATCACACAAAAATAGTACACAGGCCAAAACATTCTTCATTTGGGGGAAGGACTTTTCAAATATGTAAGATATCAAATGCTGGAAGGTCCTACCTGATAACAGCCATACCATTCCGAATCTCAGCCCCCAGGACGGCATCCACCAGCCTGAGGACAGAGCCTGAGGCCAGGCAGGCACAGGTATATGAATTCTGTAGATAGTAGGTAGACAAAGAGGGAGTAAGAGAGAGAGCAGCCCTATCCATTTAGCTGCTTTCGCCAGGGTGCAGTGGGCATGGGGCCAGGGTATCCCGGGATTATCAGGATTCCTGACCCCACAATTCTCATCCATACCGGATGCAGATAAACTGAGTCATAGGTATCTGCTAGTACACGGAGTTCTCCCTCATTCATGTACTGGGTCGTCTCCATCAGATCAATGTATTCTAGGCTGAGAACATAGATAGGAGATGAGATTCAGGGCTCTATCCTCTGTTCAGCTGAGAATCCTCCATATTACCAGACTTCTGGTCAAATCAGACCTCCCCCAACTGTAAAATCTGGGGGGAACAGCCAGGATACAAGACACATTCCCTGTTTACCCCCTAGCCCACCTCATTTCTAGTAATATCCTTTGCTCCCCTGCTCTAGCCACCCCAGATCCTACTTTCAGACTTTGGCCAGACTGTTCCAGCTGTTTGTTCCTCCCCTCCTTGGCCTCTTCTTCATCAGACTCACTCCTTTTCTCTTCTCAGAGCTCAACTCAAATACCCACTCTGCCAAGCTAGCTTTCTTTGAGCCATTCCACACCAGGCCTCTTATTTTGGGTTCCTGTAGCCCTCTGGGGGAACCCTCTGCTCACTTTGCCCACATATTCATCATCTGTTGACATAACCAGATAATAATAACAGCAATAGCTCATCATGGGCTGATAGTGTGTTAGGCTCCATTCTAAGCACCTAACATACATCAAGCCCTTCTGAGGAACTTATGTTTACTAGCCCATTACAGGTGATGATACTGATTCAGAAGGCTCAGGGACTTGTCCAAGGCTGGCCACAGAGTCCATGATATTCTTTCCCAAGGCATTCAGCTTGCCCTGGATGGTCCAGGGCAGCCTCCTCCCCAGCCCTACCAGGATCCCAAGCTTTCACCTGTGAACCAGCATCAGTTCCTCCTTTTCTGCAAACCGGGCCTGAGGAGACATGAGGAATAAAGAGCTAAGGCACAGGCTGTGCCCAGGTCCTGTCAGTTCCCTGCCCTCCATCCAATTGGGGGACTTACCTGAAAGGACACACAGCGATCCAGAAGGCCCTCCTGAATCAGCTGCTCCTTAATGGCGTGGAGCCGCTCAGGGCCTTCTGGGAAACTGGGGACAGAGATGCGGTTATACACACACACAGAAATGGGAACACCATGTCGGCTTTTGCCACATCTTTGCATTTACCTTTCCATAGCTGTTACCACAGTGGCATCTGCCCTGTTTCCTGTCACTCTCCAGAGTCAGATGCTCTCCACCACCATAATCTCCAGCCTGGGCTCTCACATTATCACCTCACTGGCCTCCCTGCTTTGGTCTTCACTACCTAAACAGTCCCTGTAATCCTAGCAGTTTAGGAGACTGAGGCAGGAGGATGGAGAGTTCAAAACCAGCCTTAGCAACTTAGTAAAGCCATAAGCAACTCAGCAAGACCCTGTCTCTTAGACAAATACAAAAAAGGGGTAGAGATGTGGCTCAATAGTTAAGTACTCCTAGGTTCAATTCCCAGAACCAAACACAAAACAAAACAAAAACCTAATCAGAGTTAGGTACAGTGTGCCTGTATTTACAGTGAGTCAAGAGGCTGAGGCAGGAGGATTGCAAGTTTGAGGCCAGCCTCAGCAACTTAGCGAGATCCTGTCTCAAAAATTAAAAAATGGCCAGGGGTATAGCTCAGCAGTAGAATACTCCTGGGTTCAATCCTCAATACCACAATAAATAAATACATAAATTCTAATCAGATTATGTCTACCAACTACTCAAAGTTCTTTCATGGCTCCCATCCTATTCCCAGTAAAAGCCCCAATCTTCCCCATCCATGCCCAAAAGGCTCTAAACAAGCAGCCCATCATCACCTTTGAGTTCATCTCCCACCCACCAACCCCTCCCTCATTTTGCTTCACTTGCACTGGTCTCCTTGGTTCTCATATGAACTATGTACCCTTCAGCCAGCCTCTGGGACTTGATCTAGCTGTCCTCCTGCCTAGAACACTGTTCTCCCAGATGGCTTCCAGGGCTCATTCCCTTATGGTCCCCAGTGAAATCTCAGTGAGGCATTCCTTGACTATCCTATTTAAAATGGAAGCATCCCCTCCACTGTACTTTCTACTGCCAAGATACAAGACATATTCCCTGTTTATCCCCTAGCCCACCTCATTTCTAGTAATATCCTTTGCTCCCCTGCTCTAGCCACCCCAGATCCTACTTTCAGACTTTGGCCAGACTGTTCCAGCTGTCTGTCCCTCCCTTCCTTGCCCTCTTCTTCATCCAGCCTTAGTGCTTTTTCACAGTACATTCTCTCCAATACACTATACCACTCACATCTTATTTGTCTTTCCTCTCCCCAGAAGGCAGGGGGTCTTTGTTTTCTTTACTGCAGTGCTTTTAACTCCTCAACAGATGGTAAATATGTATTCCACAGTTGAGGTCTTTTGTTGTCAAGAGTTAGTCTAAGGTCAGGACAGGGGAGGCAGCTATTCAACTGGTAAACACAGGAGTATAATAATTAACAATTGGCAGGGGCTAGGAAAATATCTAAGATCAGGTGTGGGAGGGGGTAGTGACCAGGTAAAGCCCTCTCTGAGATTCTCATTGAGATGTAAAAGTTGGAAAAGGAATTGACCAAGGGTAAAGACCCAAGGCAAGAGGGTGCCTGGCCTGTTAGAAAAACAGCAAGGGGACTGGTGTATGTGAACTGATGTGAAGTGAAGTGAAGTGAAGCAAAGCGAATGAGGGGGAGGATTGGCCAATGAGGTCACAAAGGTAATGTGAAGCTAGATCACGCGGAACCTTAAGAGGCCAGGATGAGGAATTCAGACTTTACCTTGAGAATAATGTTCTGCCCTTGAAGTTTTTATTTTGTTTTGGTAACAGGGATTGAATACAGGGGTGCTTAACCACTGAGCCTCATCCCCAGCCCTTTTTGGTATTTTATTTTGAGATAGGGTCTCACTAAGTTCTTAGGACCTTGCCAAGTTGCTGAGGCTGGCTTTGAACTCTGGATCCTCCTGCCTCAACCTCCTGAGCCATTGGGATTACAGGCGAGTGCCACAGCATGCACATACCCCTTGGAGTATTTTAAGAAAGGGAATCACCTCATACATATTTTTAGGTTGCTATGTGGAGACTGGAAGCAGGGATCTAGTGTAGATAAGTCACAGATATTGAGTATATTTTGAATACAGAAATTACTTTGTAGAGTGGATGAGAGGTATAATCCTATTTTAACATGAATATCCCTTCCTTGGGGAAGCCTCTTGGGAACCCTTGGATGCTAGTCCAATGTCCTCTATTAAATACTCCTGAATCTTCTAGGCTTATTACATCATTAACACCGCCTACTTTCACCAGCTGTTTTAACTGATCTGCCCTCCTATTCACTCATCAGCTCCCTGACAAGGAACCCTATCTATCTTCTTTGGCACATTTATATCACCAACTCTTGCAACATTGTAGACACTCAATAAATGTATGTTGGTTAAATGAGAAGAATCCTTTCAAGAACAAGCCCCACCCTCTTAAATTATCTGCTTCCAGTCTCCAGGCTGGTGTAAACAAGGATTCATTCTTGCTAAGGGGGCGGGGGTCCAAAGTGTGTGTGATTGTGTAGTTTGGGGACAGTCTGGAGGACCCAGCCTCACCTGTCATCCCAGAGGCAGTGGAATTCATTGAGCTGCTCATCAAACACCAAGCCAGTGCCAACCTGTGCCTTGGACTGCAGGTTTAAATCCTGCAGGAGAAAAAGAGAGACAGATCCATTCAAGGCCTGAATCAGAGGGAACATCCCCTACAGTCCAAGGTGGAGAATCTCAGGGTTTTGATTGTCACATAAGGCCAAATCAGAGCCAGGGCCCTCTCACCAGTCCTTGAAGCCCCACGACTAGGTCTTCTTCGGTTGCTTGGCTGAGCTTCTTCATTTTGCCTTTCTTCTTTACCTCCGCTAGATTTGGGCTTGAGCGAGATACGGCACCCTTCTTAACACTCCGCTTCTGCCAATAAGAGAGAACGATCAGAGTTCAGATTCTGGGGTTTTGGCTGGCTTACTCTCCCTCCCCCTCATCAGGGCAGGTCTGGGGCCTCACCGAGGTGACGCTGGAGTCCTGAAGGGGCGACTGTGGGCTGTGCCTGCTCCTTCTCTGCCTGGTTGTATTGGAATCCTGCCCGGTGGAGGTCATTGTTGGGGAGCTTTGTCCTCTGACACAGTTCTGGAGGGCCAGAAATGGCTTTGAGGGGGTTGGAGTCCCTAAGGACCGCGCAACCCAGCTCTTTTCCGGGCCCCGCCCCCTATACTAGACTCCATCCCTTACGCTATCCCATTCCCCAGTGCCTTCTAAACCGGCCTTTCTGAAGGCCCTTTCCGTCCACTGAGGTGTCCATTCCATCTGGTCCCGCCCGTTCCACTGGACTGCACCTCTTTCACATGATTCTTTCTTCGGTCTTACCTTTTCACTGAGCAATTAACCCCCAGGCTTAGTCCATTCTGGGGCCTGCATTTTTCCAGCCAATCACCGCCCCTTCCACTCTATCAAGCCTCATTCCCAGGCCCTTTCATTCCTCTAAGACTCACCCAGTGTCTAAAACCGCATCCCTTCTTCACAAACCAGCCCTTTCCGGCCTATCTCCCGGGAAATCGCCCACCCTTTCACACAGTCAGACCCAGGCCTGGCCTCGACTCCACCCTTAACGATTCATTTAACTCCTCCCCTTATCGGGGTACCTTCCTCTGCATCAGATCCCGCCCCTATAGCGTTTCAACAAGCCCCGCTCCTCCGAGGACTGTCCCTTTCCTTTCACCCGACCCCACCCCCTGCCCACACCGGATCCCTAACGTTACATCAAACGCCATCAGCCAGTCCCGAGACGCCTCCCGCCAGCCTCCGCCCTCTTCCCGCCTCAGCCATCTATGCCGGCCAATCCTTCGCGCTTCACTCACTGAACGCAGCCCCTTTCTCAAACTCCGCCCTCGGCCCACGCCGCCAAATTCCCGGCGACCTGTGGGGCCGCGGGCGCTGGATCCTCTTTCTTCCATTGGGTTAGGTCTGTCGCCTGCCCTCCCAAATCCCGCCCAGAGCAGGGATAGTGTCCGGCTACACCTCTCGCGAGCTCAAAAAAGAACCCCCCCCCAAAAAAAAATAAAAAATAAAAAGTACCCCGCCTTATGGAACGACAGGAGTCGCATTGCGCCTGCGTGATGCTCGCGTCAGGGGTTCGAAACCGAGATCCAGCTGTAGCGCCCCTTCCCCCAGCTACCGTCCACTGTCGTCCTGGTTGCTCTGACCGCCATCCCTCCCTCCCTGTCTGGCAACCGTAGATGCCCTTCAGACACGCGCCAACTGTGTCGTCTAGTGATTCCAGAGCAAGCAAGGAAATGAGGGCCTTGGGGAAAGTGGCGTCTTCTTCCCAGGGTTTCCTGCGTGGTGCATGGTGATGACATGGTGTGAGCAGGCTGGTGGCTGGGCTGAGAGCCAGGTTGACAAAGGACGATACCTGGTGTTAGAGAAAATGGGAGTTGTTATGATGATAAATATGAGAATGTTCCGACTTAATGTTCACTTACAGTGGTCCACAAGAAGCACCGAATGTTATTTGTGACATTTCTACTGTGAAAATGGGTGATGGGTGGAAGGAGTCTTAGTGGGGCCAAGTAACAGCAATACTAGCAAGTATTATGTGGCGGGCATTGTTGAAAACCACAGTTCTATGAGGTAGTTCCCAGTATTAAGGCTGTTTTACAGATAAGGAAACTGAGGTTATGAGACTTAGAGCCATGTGACTTTGGGCAAGTTACTGAACAGCTCTGTGCCCAGTTTCCTCATCTGGAAAATTGTGATAATATTAATTTCCACTGTCCAAGGCCAGCATGGTCTTGGGATCAGGAGTTTCTTATGGGTGGCAGCTCTCCCTGTCTGCCCCCTCCATCAACTAACCACTGTTTTCAAGCTGTAGTAGAAAGCATGTATCTGGAGAATAAAGGGGGAGTTGTCCTGTGCCCACCCACCCCAACCCTCCAACTCCCACTCTAATGTCTAAATTAATCAGCCCTGCTGAAGGCTGGTTTGTCCTCCTAATCTCCCCCTCTCATTCTCCACAATTTCCTACCAGGCTGTAGGCTGGGGCCCAGGAGATAAGCTGTCTGGGGTTCAGCATCACTAAATAACAGATTGATGGCCCGCTGCCCAGTAGCCAGGCCCACTGACCCTTTTGAAAACATCACTTCTAGCCTCCTTTTCCTTCCACTCCTCCTGACTTTTGTCTTGATACAAGAGGATCACACACCTAAGACCTTTAAATCCCTATACACACAAAAGAAAATATGACCCACACTGAGGAACATTCTGGGATTGTGATGACTGCAAAGAAATAGATTAAGGAGTCTTGTAAAGGGTCAGGGAACATTTTCATGTACAGAGAGAAGAGAGGTTCCTGTAGAGCAGGCGTCCACAAACTTTTTCTCTATAAAGGGCCAGTGGGTAAATAGTTCAGGCTTTGTATGACACCTGTAAGTCTCAATGGTACATCCCCCCCCCCCCCGCTGTCTTTCTATATTTCTATCTCTCTGTGTTCCTGTCCTGCTTTCTCTTTTTCCAAGACAGATTTCACAGTGTTGCACAAATTGGCCTTGAACTCCTGGGCTCAAGATCAGAAATTCCTCCAGCCGCAGCCTCCCAACTGGCTAGGACTACTGGTACACACCACCATGCCCAGCTATTCTTTTCTTTCACTTTAAAAAGATATTTATTTATTTATTTATTTATTTATTTTTTAATTGTAGGTGGACACAACACCTTAACTTTATTTTTATGTGGTGCTGAGCATTGAACCCAGGACCTCATGCTTGCTAGGCAAGCACTCTACCTCTGAGCCACAACCCCAGCCCATCTTTTCTCTTACTTTTGAACAACCCCTTTAAATGTAAAACAAACCTCACTTTGGCTTTGTAGACTTTCAGTTCGTGATTTCCTTTATCTGGCTGGGATTATTTTTTTTACAGAGTTAGGTAAGAGTTCCATTTTTCCTGAGGAGAGGTATTCCATTTGTGCAGGTGGGAAGACAGGGATTCATTGACAGGATCCCCTCTGCTGTTCCTCTACTGGACCAAGCAAATGTTCCTGGATACAGTGAGGTCAGGAATTCTTCTAGTGTTGTTATTTACTGAATCAAGCAGGTGTTTATTATACTGGACAAAATCACGGTTTCTAGAGCTCCAGCCTATGGGTTCCTATGCAAGTTGAGTATGAGGCTTATTAGACTGCATTATAACAGCTACCTACCAGGTAAGCCTAGGTGTTTCTATACAAGTTCAGAGTTTGTGTTCACAGAGACATTAAGATCAGGTGTTCTGGGCTGGGGATATAGCCCAGTTGGTAGAATGCTTGCCTTGCAGGCACAAGACCCTGGGTTCTAATCCCCAGCATACACACACACACACACACACACACACACAAATAAGAACAACAACAAAAAACCCCCAGAAGATCAGGTGTTCAAGCCAGGCATAGTGGCACACACCTGTAATCCCAGTTGCTCAGGAGGCTGGGGCAGGAGGATCGTGAGTTCAAAGCCAGCCTCAGCAACTTAGTGAAGCTGTAGGCAACTTAGTGAGACCCTGTCTCAAAAAATATAAAAAGGGTGGGGATATGGTTCAGTGGTTAAGCACCCCTGGGGTCACTCCTTGCTACCAATAAGAAAAATCAAGTGTTCAAGTGTGGCATTGTGGCATGGTGGCATATGCCTGTAATTCCAGCTACTCAGAAGGCTGAGGCAAGAGGGTTACAAATTTGAGTCCAGCTTCATTAATTCAGTAAGACTCTGTCTCAAAAATAAAGGACAGTGAGGTAGCTCAGTGGTAGAGTGTTCCTGGATTCAATCCTCCATACTGAAGGAAAAAAAGTCAGGTGTTCATTTTCAGATTCAGATTGAGAGAGTATTGTGAGTTAAACTAAATAAAATATGCTAGCTACTATACCAAACAACCCAGAACTTCAGGGACTTAAATACATGTATATTGCTTGCTCATTCAAAATCCCATTGGAATATTTATTACTGATCATTCATGGATCCAGGGAACTTCCATTTTGTGACTCTGCTGTCCTCTAGGTCCTTGCAGTTCTCACTGCTTAGTTGACAGAGAAAGAGAGGAAATCGAGAATTGCATGAGAGAGGTTCTTATGAACTGAGGCTGGAAATGGTGTGTCACTTCTGCCCACACTTTACTGGTCAAAACTCTATCACATCTACACGCAAGGGAGAGCCTTGGGGGGTGTAGCTCAGTGGTGGAGCGATTGCCTAGCAAGTACAAGACCCTGGGTTCCATTCCCAGCACCACAACACAAAACAGGTTCCCCTACAATCTGGGTGATTTTATTCACTGGTTTATTCCTTGAATTTCTCTAAAGAGACAAATGTGTGTGTGGGGTGGGGTGGGGGGGGGTTCCTGTTGATTTTAAGGACAGGCTTCTGTAGTAGTTCAAGGCATAGGTCATTGTTGGGAGTCAGAGGGGAGTCCTGTGCAGAGTTTCAACTGTGGTTCTTTCAGAGATTCAAGTTAGTGTTTCTTCTGTTAGGTCAGGACAGTGTGAAGTCTGTGAAGGGTGACAGAAGGACTGCCAGGGCAAGGTCAGGGCAAGGGCTATTACAGAGAATCCTATCAGCGTTTCCTGTTCAGGGTCAGGAGACTATTTCTAGAGAGTTAAGGTGGGAGTTCCTATAACAGATCAGATCAGAAATTCCAATGAAGGATTTCTGTTGAGGTTCTGGAAAGTTTTTCTAAAGAAAGTCAGCTCAGAGGTCCTAGTACAGTTGTAGGGTCAGGCTTTCTGTAAAACCTCAGCACATGAACGTCATGCAGTGGGCAGGGGTCCCATGTCAGGGGAAGCCATAGTTGCCTCTACAGGACAGATCAGGGCTCAAAGTAGAGGGTCAGCACAGGTATTCCTGCCATGTGGATCAGGAAAGGGTTTTCTATAAACATTCTTGACTGAGGTTCATATTTCAAGTTGGAATCCAAGTTTATGCAGACACCACAGGGTAAGATGAAAGATATGGGATTGTTGTACAGGGTAACGTCAGGGTTCATTGCCAACAGTGAAGGCAAGGGCTTCCATATGCAGTCATATCTCCTGAAGGAATTGAGAGTAGAAACTTCTGTAGAAAAAGATTCAGGGATGTGGTTCAGAAGTTAGTTTATTGTGAGCAAGGTGTATCTAAAATGCTTGCTGGGCACAGGTGCATTCCTGTAATCCCAGTGGCTGGGAGGCTGAGACAGGAGGATCAAGAGTTCAAAGCCAGCCTCAGCAACAGCGAGGTGCTAAGCAACTCAGTGAGACCCTGTCTCTAAATAAAATATGAAATTGGGCTGGGGATGAAGTTCAGTGTGTAAGTGCCCCTGAGTTCAATCCCTGGTACCAAAAATAAAATGCTTCCTGGAGGGAAGGGCTGCAGCCCAGCTCAAGGACAGGTATCCCTGCCAAAGGTCCATACAGGACTCCTAAGAGAGATTGGTGCTCATATAAAAGGCCAGGACAGGAGGTGTCCCTGCCAGGGTGGTGCAGAGGCTTCCACACAGTGTGCCTTCTGAGATTCCTAACTGGACTTAGGCAGGGGTTCCTTACTGCAGGAAGATGGGGTTCTCCTCTACAAGGTGGGACTGATGTACCTGTCTAGGATCAGGGTCCGTTTTCTGTTGATAATTAGAGGTAGGTTTCCCTTAGA